AGTGATGGCTCTGAAGTAGCAATTCAGATGATAGGCAGGGTAACCGGTCTTATTTCTTAAAACAACATCTTTGGTGCATACCTATTTTTGTTTATAAAGATTTATTGTGGCACAATAGGTTAAGCCAATGCCTGCATCCCATATGGGTGCTGGTTTGAGTCCCAGCAACTCTCCTTCTGATCCAGCTTCCTGTTAATGCACCGGGGAAAGCAGCAGAAAATGACTCAAGTCCTTGGGTCCCTGCACCCACATGGGAGACCTGGATGGAGTTCTAGGCTCCTGACATCAGCCTGGCCCAGCCCTAGCCATTGTGGCTATTTGGGGAAGGAAGACTGATCTGTCTCTCCATCTGTCTGTAACTCTGCCTTTCAAAAAAATGAAATATTAAAAAAGACTTATTCAGGAGGCAGAGAAAGAGGAAGACAGATCCATCAACTGGGGAATGAGCCAGCATGTCGAAGATCAAATGCATATGACAGAGTTGGGCCAGGCCAAAGCCAGGAGCCTGAAATTCTATCTCGGTCTCCTACATGGGTTACAGGGCCCAGGAACTTGGAACATCATCTGCGGCTTTCTCGGGCACATTAGCAGGGAACTGAATCAGAAGTAGAAGAGCTAGGGCTTGAACTAGCACTCTGATGTGGGATGCAGGCTTTCCAAGTAGTGGTTTAATCTGCTGTATCACAATGTTGACCCCATCCATATCTTCATGTTGTTAAAAAAACAAATTGCCACTTTTTTTTTTTTTTGACAGGCAGAGTTAGAGAGACAAAGGTCTTCCTTTTCTGTTGGTTCACCCCTCAAATGGCCGCCATGGCTGGTGCGCTGCGCTGATCCGAAGCCAAGAGCCAGGTGCTTCCTCCTGGTCTCCCATGTGGGTGCAGGGTCCAAGCACCTGAGCCATTCTCCACTGCCTTTCCGGGCCACAGCAGAAAGCTGGACTGGAAGAGGAGCAACCGGGACTAGAACCTGGTGTCCCGGTGTCGCAGGTGGAGGAGCCAAGTGAGCCGCAGCGCCGGCCCTATTGCCACATTTTCTATACAGCTATTTAATTACCTGCTTATTATGTGCTTGTCTCTTCTGTTTGTTAAAGATAAACCCTATGTAGCTCATATCTTCATACTACCCATGGCTAATAGCATAAATGCTCCATGGCTTGCCATTGCTTTTGTAGATCTGGTATTCCAGATAGCATTTCCCTTCAGCCTAGAAGCCTATCTTAATACTTTTTATAGTACAGGTCTGCTGGAGACAAACTCTGTCAGCTTTTATCTGCCTCAACTTGTCCTGTTTTTGTTTCTATTTATGAAAGGTATTTTCACTGCATATACAATTTCAGGATGATAGTACTTGCAGCACGTTAAAGATGCCATTTTGTTGTTTGCAGTCCTTGTTTCTGGTGAGAATCTATTGCATCATTTTTGTCCTGTAATTAATAATCTTTATTCCTCTGGTTGCACTTTATGTTTTTCTTTGATTTTTCAGCAGTTTGAATTACTTAAGTATGTGGATTTTCTTTTTGTGGGGGGAGAGGTATTGAGTATTGCTGAGCTTCTTGGGCCTGTGATAGAGGTAATCTTGCAAAATTTTCAGTGATTATGTCCTGAAATATTTCTTGTGTACTATTCTCACAGTCTTCTGCTTTTGAATCTAAATTACACTTATATGACAGATCTTGGTTGCTGTGTGTGTGTGTGTGTGTGTGTGTGTGTTTTTTCCCCTCCTCTGCCCATCCTTTTCTCTTGTGTTTCAGTTTGGATACTTTTTATTGAGCTGTATTGCAGTCACTGTACTCAGCTTTGTCCAGGTTACTGTTAAGCCTATCTAATGAAATCTTCAGATCTGATAAAATACACGAAGTGTTCTTTTCTAATCTTTTTAAGTTTCTGAGGTTGTTGCTGAAATGCCTAACTTTTCAGGCATGATATCTACTCTTTGTTATATCCTCTAGCATTGTCTCTGATATTTCAGATTGCTTATCTGTAATTCCAACATCAGGGCCGTCTCAGGAACTGCTTTTTTCCATGGACACATCTTATTGCCTCTTTGTGCCTAGCAATAGTTGATTGTGGGCATTTTATTTCAGTGTAGCAGTTCGGTTTGGGCCTTATTGTTGGCTTTAGTTTGATTCAACTCATTTGTTTCGATGGCTTGGGATTTGCATTAAATGAGAATCTGGCATCTCTTGTCTGACTTGACAACTGAGCTACCAGCTTTCAAAACTGTTTCATATCTCTTTTGAAGTCCTGATGCCCATTTCTATATTTATTTAAAGATTTAGTTTATTTGAAAGGGAGAATTGAAGGCAGGGAGAGCAAGAGAGACAAACATATCTTCCATCCATTGGTTCACTCCCCAAATGACTGAAACAACCAGGGCTGGGCTAGGCTGAAGCCAGGAGCTTCACCCGGGTCTCCACAAGCACTTCCACCATCCTCCACTGCTTTCTCAGGTGCATTAGCAGGGAGCTGTAATGGAAGTGGAGAAGCTGGGACTTGAACCATCACCCATATGGGATGCTGGCATTATGGGCAGTAGCTTAGCCTGCAGCACCACACTTTTGGCCCTGAGATCTACTTTTTTTTTAAAATTTATTTGTAAGACGGAGTGAGACAGACACACACACACACACACACACACACACACACACACCAGCTAGCTTTATCTGCTGGTTCATTCCCCAAATTCCTGTGACACCTGGGGCTGGGCTGAAGCCAGGAACTCTATGTGGGTCTCCCATGTTGGTGGCAGGAGCTCAAGAACTTGGCTCATCATGAACTGCCTCCCAAGTGAAGAGTGGGAAGCTGAATTGTAAGCAAGTAGTCAGGACTTGATGGTTACTCTGAAATAGGGTGGGAACATTCCAAGCAGTGGCTTAACTTGCTGTGCTGCAACACCTGCCCCTATTTTGAAAAATTATCATTATAATCTCTACATTTCTTCTTGTCTCATCCTTGTACCTGTCTTTCTTTTAAGATTTTACTTATTTGAGAGGTAGAGTTACAGCAGAGGGAGAGACAGAGAAAGGCCCTCCATCTGCTGGTTCACTCCCCAAATTGCCACAGTGGCCGAAGCTGGGCCTATCCAAAGCCAAGAGATTGCCATGCAGGTGCAAGGGCCCAAGGGCTTGGGCCATCTTCTACTGCTTTTACAGGCCATAGCAGACAGTTGGATCTAACCAGCAACCATATGGGATGCCAGAGCTGCAGGTGGAGGCTTGGCTTACTATGCCACAGTGCCGGCCACCAATGTAATCTCTACATTTCATTTCTTGAAGAGATCCCATTTCTTTAGAGGAATTAAATAATACCATGACTTATTATCCTTTTAAATTGAATGTTTATTTCCTTTTTTTTCCAGTGTTCAACTTTTTTGACTATACTAGCTCTGTCTAATAGAATTTTCTGTAGTAATGGAAATATTCCATATGTGCTTTGACTGATATAGTAGCCACTAATCAATCACCTTTGATTGGGGACTAGAAATGTGGATATCTTATACTCTCCTGCTCCCTCTTTTTCCCTCTTCACCCCTTCCCTCCAATCTGTCGAGTTTCCCCCCACTAAACCCTTTCCCTTAAAAAAAAAAAATTCAGTTCAGGGGCCAGCACTGTGGCATAGAAAGTTAAGCCTCCATCTGCAGTGTCAGCACCTTATTCGGGCACCAGTTTGAGTCAGCTACTCCTCTTCCAACCCCGCTCCCTGTTAATGCGCCTGGTAAAGCATCAGAAGATGGCCCAAGTGCTTGGGCCCCTGCATCCATATAGGAGAACTGGAAGAGGCTCCAGGCTATTGACTTCAGCCTGGCCCAGCGCCAGCCACTGTTGCCATTTATGGAGTAAACCAGCGAATGGAAGATCTCTCTCTCCACTTCTCTCCATACTTCTGCCTTTCAAATACAAAAAACAAATCTTTAAAAATTCAGTTCATTGGTCACATTTCTAGTCCCCAATCACAGGTGATTGATTAGTGGCTACTATATCAGTCAAAACATATATGGAATATTTCCACATGTTCAGGAAAAATTCCCTTTTAAACTGCCAGATGGAAAGCCACGACACTGTGGGGAAAAAAACAAACAAACAAAACACCTAAATGAAAGATCTCTGAGTGAGATCCCAGCGGAAAGTTTGGGTCATCAAAGAAGGAGGTACCTTTCTCTGAAGGGAGGAGAGAACTTCTCTTTGACTATGACCTTGTCTAAATAAGATCGGAGTTGGCGAACTCAAGAGGCTTCCCTAGCCTCGACAGATCATGACAAGAGCCTCAGGTGATTACTGACGTCATAAACAAGAGTGTCAGTGGTTAAATCAACAACAGGAGTCACTGTGCACTTACTCCCCATGTAGGATCTCTGTCCTTAATGTGTTGTACTATGTGAATTAATGCTATAACTAGTACTCAAACAGTACTTTGCACTTTGTGTTTCTGTGTGGGTGCAAACTGTTGAAATCTTTACTTAATATATACTATATTGATCTTCTGTATATAAAGATAATTGAAAATGAATCTTAGGCCGACGCTGCGGCTCACTAGGCTAATCCTCCGCCTTGCGGCACCGGCACACCGGGTTCTAGTCCCGGTCGGGGCGCTGGATTCTGTCCCAGTTGCCCCTTTTCCAGGCCAGGTCTCTGCTGTGGCCCGGGAGTGCAGTGGAGGATGGCCCAAGTGTTTGGGCCCTGCACCCGCATGGGAGACCAGGAGAAGCACCTGGCTCCTGGCTTTGGATCAGCGCGGTGCGCCGGCTGCAACGCGCTGGCCGCAGCGGCCGTTGGGGAATGAACCAACAGAAAAGGAAGACCTTTCTCTCTGTCTCTCTCTCTCTCACTGTCCACTCTGCCAGTCAAAAAAAAAAAAAAAAAATCCCAATACCGGAATACTTCTTGATAAAATCACAGTGATACTGTGATTGGCAGTATTCTTTTTGCTTTTGGATTTACATAAATCTGAAGCAAGACATTCTTGTACTTAACATGTCTGCTGCTCTGTCTTCCTTTGTAGCTGGACAAATTTGCCAGCATAAGAATTCCAGGGAGCAAGAAAGAGAGACCTCCACTTTCCAGCCTGAAGACTGCATTTGGAAGCAGTGACTGCTCACTGGCCTCTTCAGAGATGATGGAAAATGTCCCAAAGCCACTGGCACAGAATGAAGTTCTGGAACTTTTTGAAAAGATGATGGTAAGAAGTTTGAGTGTTCACAAGATATTTGAGGGGGGGAAACCCCTTAGCTTCTGGTCATGTTAATGGAACATTAAGATATTTGAAATTCATATTTTGTGGGGTCATTTCTTATTTCTTTTAAGATAACACTTTAGCCCTAGAAAACTTTTTGGATGACAGACAAAAGAATCTGGAAAAAAAATTATACCAGTTTTTGGTTTTATATTGAGTTTATAGAAACAAATATTGTAAAGAATCAAATGATACCTTTTTTGTCTTGAGTAAAGGAAGTGATCATTCTGTCTATGTACAGTTGAATTTTTGAGTGGTCATAATGCTCTGCTATTTGAGTTAAATGTGCTGCGTTTTTGGTTTGTTTGGTGTTTTTTTTTCTCCTTAATTCACAGGATACCTATGTTTTTTATGATCCTGTAGCAGTGATATGATCTGCCTTTCCTAGTAGAGATACATGGTTTTATTTCGGGTCGTTTTCAGTTAGATCTAAAAACTGGTAAATCTCTGACTCAGCGCCTGACTTTTAAGCTGGCTGTGCTCATTTGATCCCTACTTCCCATATGTTAAGCATATTCAAACTGCTTACCCCAAATTAAAGCTAACTTGATAATAAATTTATCTACATATATAGTTCCTACCGTCAGGTTGCTTATCTCCTAGATTTCAAAAAGATTGAACAACTAAATAAGAAATGCAGTATCTAATAACTAAGCTGTTTATGAGTTCCGAGGGAGAAGGTGTTACTTTAGTTTTTGAGATGCCTCATTGGCTTCAGGGAAAATGGGATGGATAGGCTGTTCTGCAGTTGAGGGAAATTGAATAGAACAGGTAAACTAGAGCTAGGTCTTCAGGATAGGATATGGATAGCAGAGGGAACGGAGGGTGCTCCTTTGACATGGAGGAAACAAGTGTGCAGTTTCTAGCTGTTTGAAGGTGGGTGGCAGCTAGAGGTTGGAAAATTTAGACTGGAATAAATTGGTGGATATTATAAAGATTTTATGTGTCATTCTGTAGAGTTGTATATTCCTGACTCAATTTTTTCTGTATATGTCTATTCTAATACCTGTTGGCTTTTAAAGGCTTATTAATTTTTAGGGAAATGATTATATTCAATATAACACGTGCATGAAATTTGACAAATGTTCATAGCTGGTCTTTTCACTGCTTGGCTGGACTCAGCAATGTATTTGCCATGACATTATTATTCTTTTTTTTTTTTTTCTTTTCATTGCAAGTGATTGTGTCCAGTGGTATATGTGGAGGAGCTTTGTAAAATTCCAGAAACAAAGAAGGATTAGTTTGTGTGTTCATGGGCTTTTTAATGAGTCTCAGTGATTCCTAATTCTTCATTACTGAACATTTTTATTACTGTGGTGGTGGTGTTCTTTTTTCTTTGCCTTGGCTTAAGAACTCATCTATAATACCAGCTCTTAAGTGCTGATTTTGATTTTTTAATGTACACAAATAACTCCTTATTCTTTTGGTACCATGAGATGATGAAGTTTTAACCAAGAGAAAAAAAAAAAACCCAAAACTTTTTGCTAGCCTTTGCCCCTGTTAATGAGATGTGTATGAAGGTGGCACTTTTCACTACTACCTTTGAAAACTTATTATGGTAAAATGCTGTTTTGCCTCTTATTTATGTGGAATCATTTATCTGAATATCTGAGGTTCTGCAATCATGCTACTTATTTGTTTTTAAAGTTTTATTTATTGATTTGAAAGACAAAGTTAGAGATACTTTCCATCCTCTGGTTCACTCCCCAAATGGCCACAATTACCAGAGCTGGTCCAATCCGGAGCCAGGAGGTTTGACTGGGTCTCCCATGTGGGTACAGGCCCCCAAGCATTTGGCCATCCTCTGCTGCTTTCCCAGGCACATTAGTAGGGAACTAGATCAGAAATGGAGCATCTAGGACTCCAACAGGTGCCCATCTAGGATGCTGGTGCAGCAGGTGGCAGCTTTACTTGCTCTGCCCCAGTGCTGGCCCCTGTAATCATAACTTAAAAAAATTTATTTGAAAAGGAGATAGTGATAGGTAGACAGAGATATGGGGTAGGAGGGTCTTTTCCATCGGTTGGTTCACACCCCCAAATGCCTGCAATAGCCAGGGCTGGATCCGGCCAAAGCCAGAAGCACAGAACTCCATCTGGGCCATCCATATGGCTGGCAGGGACCCAGGAACTGGATGTACATTAGCAGGAAGCTGGATATGGAGCTGGGGATTAGGGACTCAAACTAGGTACTGGGATGTGGGTGCCCCAAGCAGTGACTTAACCAAATACCCATGCTGGAATGGTACATCTATGGCCTACTTTTGATTATATTGTTAAAATGTCTTTTTTAATAATTGCAAATGCAATCTAATTAGCTCATTGACAAACATTTATGAAGACTACATTTTTATTTTATTTTTTAGATTTTAATTTATTTATTTGAGAACTAGAGCTACAGACAGAAGGAGAGATAGAGAATTCTTCCATCCATTGGTTCATCCCCAAATGACCACAATGGTCGGAGTTGAGCAGATCCAAAGCCAGGAGCCAGGGGCTTCTTCCAGGTCCCGCATACAGATTTAGGGGCCCAACAGCACAATATTCCATGTGCTGTTGGTTCTGAAGCTTAAAGGTCTTGAAGCTGAGAAGGGTCTTTGTCCTTTTTAAAATATAGTTAGTGATGTTTCTCAAGCTTTTCAGGCAGTCATGGTTTTGGCAAAATTTAAAGCTATTTCTATGTCTATGGTGAAAGGGCTTGCACCTATCTGAAACATTTCTATAAAATTCTCTTGACAAAGCAACATTAATTCATGAGCCATATTAACCCTTTAGCATTTGTACCCACCAGAGGTTTTGTATGGTGGAAAATTTGGATCTAGCTTCTTGGTTTTTTTTTTTTTTTTTTTTTTTAACTTTTATTTAATGAATATAAATTTCCAAAGTATGACTCATGGATTACAATGGCTTCCCCCCCACACCGTCCCTCCCACCCACAACCCTCCCCTCTCCCACTCCCTCTCCCCTTCCATTCACATCAAGATTCATTTTCAATTATCTTAATATACAGAAGATCAGCTTAGTATACATTAAGTAAGGATTTCAACAGTTTGCTCCCACACAGAAACATAAAGTGAAAAATAATAGATGATTTTTTAAATGATGATGAAATCAGATCAGACCTATTGTCATGTTTAATCCCAGTGAGAGTCAAGTTGGGAATTGATAATTTCTTTTTTTTTTTTTTTCAGAAGATCAGTTTAGTATGCATTAAGTAAAGATTTCAACAGTTTGCACCCTCATAGAAACACAAAGTGAAATATATTGTTTGAGTACTCGTTATAGCATTAAATCTCAATGTACAGCACATTAAGGACAGAGATCCTACATGAGGAGTAAGTGCACAGTGACTCCTGTTGTTGACTTTACCAATTGACACTCCTGTCTATGGCATCAGTAATCTCCCTATGCACCAGTCATGAGTTTCCAAGGCTATGGAAGCCCCCTGAGTTCTCCGACTCTTATCTTGTTTAGACAAGGTCACATTGAAAGTGGAGGTTCTCTCCTCCCTTCAGAGAAAGGTACCTCCTTCTTTGAAGACCTGTTCTTTCCACTGGGATATCACTCACAGGGATCTTTTTGCCAGAGTGTCTTGGCTTTCCATGCCTGAAATACTCTTATGGGCTTTTCAGCCAGATCCGAATGCCTTTAGGGCTGATTCTGAGGCCAGAGTGCTATTTAGGACATCTGCCATTCTATGAGTCTGCTGAGTATCTCACTTCCCATGTTGGATCACTCTCCCCTTTATTTATTCTATTGGTTAGTGTTAGCAGGTACTAGACTTGTTTATGTGCTCCCTTTGACTCTTAGTCCTTTCATTATGATCCATTGTGAACTGAAATTGATCACTTGGACTAGTGAGATGGCATTGGTACATGCCACCTTGATGGGATTGAATTGGAATCCCCTGGTATGTTTCTAACTCTACCATTTGGGGCAAGTCAGCCCAAGCATGCCCCAAATTATACATCTCTTCCCTCTCTTATTCCCACTCTTATGTTTAACAGGGATCACATTTCAGTTAATTTTCAACACTTAAGAATAACTGTGTGATAATTACAGAATTAAACCAGTCATATTAAGTAGAACAGACAAAAAAAACTACTAAGAGGGATAATGTATTAAGTTGTTCATTAACAGTCAGGGCTATGCTGATCAAGTCACCGTTTCTCATAGTGTCCATTTCACTTCAGGAGGTTTCCTTTTTGGTGTTCAGTCAGTTGTCACCGATCAGGGAGAACATATGGTATTTGTCCCTTTGGGACTGGCTTATTTCACTCAGCATGATGTGTTCCAGATTCCTCCATTTTGTTGCAAATGACTGGATTTCGTTGTTTCTTACTGCGGTATAGTATTCTAAAGAGTACATATCCCATAATTTCTTTATCCAGTCTACCATTGATGGGCATTTAGGTTGGTTCCAGGTCTTGGCTATTGTGAATTGAGCTGCAATAAACATTAGGGTGCAGACCGCTTTTTTGTTTGCCAATTTAAATTCCTTTGGGTAAATTCCAAGGAGTGGGATGGCTGGGTTGAACGGTAGGGTTATCTTCAGGTTTCTGAGGAATCTCCAGACTGACTTCCATAGTGGCTTGACCAGTTTGCATTCCCACCAACAGTGGGTTAGTGTCCCTTTTTCCCCACATCCTCTCCAGCATCTGTTGTTGGTAGATTTCTGTATGTGAGCCATTCTAATGGGAGTGAGGTGAAACCTCATTGTGGTTTTGATTTGCATTTCCCTGATTGCTAGTGACCTTGAACATTTTTTCATGTGCCTGTTGGCCATTTGGATTTCCTCTTTTGAAAAATGTCTATTGAGGTCCTTGGCCCATCTCTTAAGTGGGTTGTTGGTTTTGTTTTTAACACATCCCTCTTACACAGCTGTTTGCAAGGCACACTTCAAAAAAGTTGATTGTGTGTTTAATGTTTGCAGTTCTTTATGTCTTATT